ACGCTTTCAGTCAAACGCTTATCCGTCTTAAGCCACAAGTCATGAAACGTGTCGACCCTTTCCATAAGCGCCTGTATGTCCACCGAAAAGATCTGCAACTGAGCGCTGATGTCTAACTCCCGGTGCAGTTGGCGTACAATTCTCCGGTAGGTCTCCATGTGTTCGGACAGACGACTCAACCGTTTTGTGGCGATCGCCGAGTTTTCTTTGATATTTCGGTGAATAATCAGAATATTCTGTAATATGTATCGAGTTTTACGACAGATTTCAGCCATATTTATGATGTCTTCGAGCGCACAGTCGGCCCTCTGTTTGATGGCTGTGATGGCAATCAACACCTTTGGTAAGTCCTCACTACCGGAGCTACCGTTCCCTTCGCCGTAGTCATCGTCCCATATGTTTGAAGCGCCAAATCGGGCGTAGAATCGACACATAATTTACTGAATATTGACTTTTTATGACTTTTTATAAGTGGACACAAATAAAGTCTATTCAAAAGGGAACTCCGCTTTTAATATTAGTAAACATTTTGAAAATACTAAAGTGTTTGCAAATTCTGTGTTAAGTATTGCACAGAATATTGAAAATTGCATTGAATTTCAAATCGCAAAACGTATTGAAGTTATATTTAGATGTGTTTTGCACTCAATTCGGTGTCGACTATACTTAGAGCTATTAAGGGATTGCACTGGAGTTTAGGTGACCTCCCATTCATGGCACTCACCATTTAGGCTCCATTTCCACATGATTTTGTGTGCGATACCTTCAAATTAATCATTGAATGAACATTAAAACTATTTTCAAAAGCTTGCATTTTTATAATAAGAATTTATTTAATCAAGTTTGTTTTATCAATGAATAGTGTTTTACATATAATTTGTATTTTTCTAATTATAATCAAAGGATTTTTAAGTAAACAATAAAACAATAATACGTTTATACGATAATAATAATCATAACTATAATATAATAATTATTTAATATATTTAGGGTTTTTATAAATTTTTTATTTTGTATATAATTTTAGATAAAATTTTATTCATAGAGTGAGGAGAGAGAGAGAGAGAGAGATCCCAAGACTTCATACAATGAGAAACAATGACTAAATAATCGGTATTTTAAATAATATAAACCCCTTTCCACTGGTTATTCAGGCATTCATTACGAATAGCACTCCAAATGGAAAGGACTGCCCGGTATGTGATCGTCGCCCCACTTGATAACCATCACATAATCTCCTTTCTCACGGCACTGGTAGGTCACGTTATACATGTTGCGACCCTGGTGCTTCACAGACACGTCATCTACGGGTCCTTTGGGACCATAGAGGGCCACAAACAGCATATTATTGCCTAAGAATTACAAATTATTTTAATACTGTATCACAATATTCTGTGCGCTATTCAAGACTTAGGAGGGAATTACCGAATGGGGAACAGGAATGGATGGAGTATAGCATACATACCGGCGCTGATACAGTTGACAGTGAAGTTGTTGGTCCGGTTGAGGACCGCCTTCTTGAGGCCCAACCCCTTGGCGTCCACTTTGGAGGCGTCTGAACGGAATTTAGGCATTTCTAACCTCTTATTCGACTGTTTGGTAACCGTTTCGACCACTACTGACGCCGTCTCCACGTCCGATATGTCGGCGATACTACGGGTCCCTAATGGAGGTTAGGGTCACCACAGTATTAAAGGGCAGTTCAATAAGTATACCTCAGTTATAGCAAAATTATCCCTACTTACCCATACACCTAACCTTGAAGGGACTGCCCACCACGTGATACCCATTGAACTTAACCGTAATGAAGTACTCTCCCTGAGCCAATGGGGTGTACCTCACTTTGTATCCCTCCTCCACTTCCGTGCAGTCCATCGAGACCTTCGACGGGCCGTCTATAGTGACCGCTAGACTACCGGCGCCGGCAGAGCACGTGTCGATAATGAAGTCCGTCTTGACGCCTGTACGCGCCTCCTTCAGCCCATTCCCGTGCACCTGCACCGCCTCCGGGGCCGCCTCGTCCTTACCAATACGCATGGGAAAGGGAGACTCCGGTATATGGACGCCATTGAACCGCACGTGTATGCGGTGAATACCTATTCATCAAAAGGTTACAGAATATTCTGTAATCATTCATATACTATATCAAGAATATAATACTACAATACATACCGTTCTCTCGGGGCATAAACCTGAGCGACCACTGGTCGTCGTCTATATTCATGAGAAAGCAGTCGTCTTCGCCACCGGACGGGGAGACCACTTTGCCGTCTAACTGTCCCCGAGCGCCGTTCAGGTTCACCGTGAAAGTGACCGGTTTGTTCACCTGAAGCATGTGCTCCGGGGGAATGGCGCCCAACTCTATGCGCCGGGCGTCGGCAGCCGCAGGCATTACATACACCTATGTGTTGGGCCGAAGGGAACGGTAGCAGTGGTGGGTGTGTAATGGGAACAAAATCAATGAATACAGACCTTATAGGGACTGTCGGGTATGTGTTGGTCGTTGAACTTAATGCCGATTCTATACTCTCCCGGTTCGGACACCTTATAGAGTACATAACACGAGCCGTCTTTGCGGTCCTTGAAGTCTATGTCTGCTTTGGAGGGGCCCTCCACTGAGATGGATAGGTTGCCCGCACCCGCCTCACGGGTCCACACGTTGAATTCAGCTTCAAATAAAAATGATCAAGTTAGAATTGTATAAAACTCTTAAACTTACAGTGTATGTGGGGATTATTATATTAGTTGTCAACCGGGGGTCAAATACCCGGCGCACACATACCCGGAGTATTAACAGAGCCTCGTTCGAGACCGGGTCCGCCCGCGTGCACCCTATGAGAGCCGTAGTCGTTGAGGGGGCCCACCGTGAACTGGAAGGGCGACCCCGGTATGTGTATGTCCTTATAGCGTACGCTCACTGTGTGAACGCCCACCTCTTTGGGCACAAAGTGGACGGCATAGAGACAGTCATCCATATCGGTGATGGAGGCGTCCTCCACCTCCCCGGAGGGTGAGCCCACTTTGGCGGCCATATCGAAAGCAGAGGTGCCCGGGATCTTAAACGCTAGGAGTTTGGGTGACAACACAAATAGTATCATTAATATTATATTATAGTAAAGTGTCCAGGTAATTAATGAAATAAAAATTTCTATTATACAGTAGTATATTGTAAACAGAATATTCTATAAGTCATAATAAAAGCATCATGGTTACTCAGTTTGCATTCAGAGCCCACATCGGTGACAGGCATGGCATCCCTTTCCTTCTTGATATTCTCGCGCTGTATGTTAGAGCCCTCGCCCGTCACCTTCACAGTGAACGGACTGCCCGGCACGTGATGGTCAGCGAACTTCAGGTTTATTATGTAGAATCCCGGCTCAGTTGG